GAGTGGTGGAGCCAGCATGATCTTGGTCAGCATGGATCTCAGCCCATGGATCTCACCTTAGGATACAAAGCTCGGGGCTGGGAGTATCTCAGTACTAGAGCTGTTGCCTAGTGTGTACAGCTTCCAGCACCACACACAAGTAGCCAGCTGGGGCTAAAAAAGACCCTGCCTACACACACACCACACACACGGGGGGGGGGGGGGGGGGTTGGGGGGGAGAGATCATGAATTGACTCTAAGGGATGTCTGGCTAAAGGCAAAAATGTTTGGAAAGCTGACGTGAAAATCATTGTATGCAGATTTTAAGTAAATGTAAAGCTGCTCTGACAGACTTTGCCACAAAACCTTTTGTCCTTTACTGAGCCTAAGGAGATGGAGAGGGGCAGGCTTTGCCTGTACTTTTTAGAGGGGAATCTGGGGCTTGGTGATGTTCCCTCTGTGACCACTAGGGAGCGGTGGTGTTTCTTTTCCTCCTAGTCCCACCCTATTCTGTGGGCCAGCCTGGGCTCCCTGACCTGTCAGTGAGGGTTGAGTCTCGTTTGACTGCGTTTCAGGACTCTGCCGCTCCCCCACCCACGGCACTAGTTATTCGCTGGGTGTGTCTCCCGCCTTGCAAGGTCTCAGAGCTTGCCTTAAAGCTCTTCCACTTGTTCTCCGAAACTTCAAACCTAAGCCTTTCTGTTTCTGCCTCCTGCTCTCACCTCCGCTCCCTAGGTCCTAACGTGAGGCTTGCTGCCCCGGCTCCTGTCCCCCTGCCTTCCTCTTTAAGTCAGTAATTATGACTGCCTTGTGTGTTGGGGGGGTGGGGGGAGACAGCGATTCCTGCCGCGCTTTGAAAGCATTTCCACACTTCCCTTCCCAAGGAACAGGCAGTCAGGAAAACCAGGTGGAAAGGGAGGTGACAATTCCTGGAAGGAAGGGGAAAAAAAAAAAAAAAAAGACCTGTTTCTCCACACCCTTCCCTCACCCCTTCCTCTCCATCTCACCCTGGTGAAGGGCTGGAACATTAGAGAGGGAGGGGAGATGGAAGGCGGCTAGGGAGCTCCCGAGATGGAGGGCCTTTGTAGAGCTGGCGATCCATCTTTAGGGGCGACTACACCCTCAGAACTCTCCACCCTCCCTTGGCTCCAGGGCTCCCTCCTTCCACCCCCCGTGGTGGCAGCAGCCTTGTAATTTAAAGCTCTCTCTGTCGCCTCTAATGTGAGCCTCTCGTTTTATTGACTCTCTCTGCCGTCTGTGGCGCCCCTTCCCATCAATCTCCGCTCTAATCACACTGCTGCCACGGCCCGCTCCGCAGCCCCTCCGCTCTGCAGAGGCCCAGCCCTTTCCTCCACTGCCCCCCACCTCCAGAACACCAGCCGCCTTCTCTCCCGTGCCTTCCGAGCGGTAATGTCGGTCCTCCTGTGAGACTTGCCCCACGGGAGAGCTGCCCTTAAGAGATGCCGGGAACCGCGGGAAGCAAAGGCCCTGGGACCGAGTGAACACGAATCGTGGCCCGAGGGCACCAGGTTACGTGGGCTCTGACTTTTAGAGGCTTTGGTGTCAAATCCAGTGAAAGGCAAGAAGGGGGGTAAAGGAGAAAAAAAGAAAAGGGACCTGGAGATTCAGAGAGAGGAGATGGAAGAGAGGGAAATGGGAGGGTTAAAAGTTGGTGGGCACCCTGACCACAAAAGTCTAATAAAAAGTGTGCGGTGGGAGAAACACTGAAGAGAAAGGGACAAGGGAAATAGGTAGGGGGTGTATGAGGCAGATACATTTGCAATTGAAATATTTTCCTGAAGAGGAGGGGTAGGCTGGAAGGTAGGGGAGAGATTTGCAATTTTAAACAGCCACCAGCTGACCTACCCTACGCTGCTGCGGGTCTCACCCAGAGGCTGGCCAAAAGCCGAGAGCCCTTTGATTTCTACTTAGCAATCAGTGCCCTTTTCAAGCCGGGAGAATTAAGCCTTAGAGAAGACCTGGGAGTTACTCCAAGGTCTGAACTATGATGTGGCATTGTGAGGAGAGCCAAGAGGGAGCGAATACTTGTAAGTGGGGCTATCCTGCTGCCAGCCAGGTGGGACAAAGCACCCACCATGTCAACCCTCAGCTCTCCTCTCAGGGCGGGTAGTAAAACGTGGTGGGGTCCAACCTGTGGAAATGACTGAACCCTCACAAACCAACAGACTTACCTTCCTCTGTCCCCCTCAGGAGGAATGCCTTTCTCCAACAACGCCACTGCTTCTACTATCCACTCAACTAGAAATCTACACCCCCACGGGGGTGGTGGAGCACGCCTTTAATCCCAGCACTCAGGAGGCAGAGGCAGGTGGATCTCTGTGAGTTCAAGACCAGTCTGGTCTACAAGAGCTAGTTCCAGGACAGCCTCCAAAGCCACAGAGAAACCCTGTCTCAAAAAAAAAAACAAAATAAAAAAGAAAGAGAAAGAAAGAAAGAAAGAAAGAAAGAAAGAAAGAAAGAAAGAAAGAAAGAAAGAGGAAGGGAGGGAGGGAGGGAGGGAGGGAGACAGAGACAGGAGACAGAGAGAGGGAGACAGAGACAGAGACAGAGACAGAGAGAATCATTCTATAAATTATGTGATTCTAGCCCACCCCAGCCCCATCCTGTTTCTTCACTTCCCTTTTGATTTCTCTCTTCAGCCCTTCACCAGGTACTTATTTGCATTTCATTAGCATACTAATCCTGTTCTGAAAGAATTCCTTGAAGGTTCTAACTCATACCTAACTGGACTCCCAGGAGGAGGAGGGAAGTGGGAATAGTCTTGAAGGCTATGGGGTACCTGGACCAAGAACCCATCTTAAATCTGGGAATTGAAGTGAGGGTTAAAGATGTCCCAAGGAGAAAGAGGCCATCCCCTCACCCTTTCTTTGAAGCAGTGTGGCCTGAATATTAGACATTTCATCATACAGACAGTGGGAGAGGAGTTAGGTGGACGCTTAGGGAACTGATAATGCTAATTTTGAGCAAGGTGGGAGCCTTAATGGCCTTATCCACTATTCCTGATTCCTAGCTCTTTGGAGACTACTAACTATGCCTGTTTTATGTCTACACACACACACACACACACACACACACACACACACACCACCAAATAATTTTTTCTTCTTTTTTTGGGGGGGGGTGGGAGGGACAGGGACAGGGTCTCATGTATTCTGCACTGGTTTTGAACTCACTATGCAGCCAGGAGTCCTGATCCTCCTGCCTCTACTGCCAGAGTACTGGGATTACAACCATGAACCTATCCCCATTGATGCAGAGCTGGGAACTGAGCCCAGGACTTCACGCATGCTAGAGTGTCATTCTATCAACTAAGCTGTTCCCACCACTTTGGAGCCTGGTTATTATCAGTGGCACATTTAAACCTTAAGTGTTTCTTGGCTTCCTCATCTCTAAACACAAACACTGTGAGATGAGCTGAGATAGTACATGTCTCTAGCTGTTACCAAGACCATGCTATAAATACTTTAATGGCTGCTAGAACCATGATTACCAGAACTTATTACTAATATGTTTATCTCCAATCTGGAGAGGAGAGAGCTACAAAAGAGCTATTATCTTCCAACCAGCCAAGGAAATTCCTGACTCAGCGTGTCCCAACCAGTGTGGATCAGGAATGCACTGGAGAAAGATGTGTGCCAGGGAAAGCAAGAAGACCTTTGACTAGGAGCCAGAGCCAAGGGGTTTCCCCAGGGCTCGTTCATTTGAAAGATATTTATTAGCATGATGGTACATGCCTGTAATCCCAGCACTTGGGCGGTAGAGGGAGGAGGATTCAAGTTTATTCTCAGCAACTTGAATGTAAGGCTAGACTGTGTCTGTGTAATCATAGAGAAATCGACAGCAGTTGAAGTCTCTCATAGAACTAACCCTCTAGAAGGGAAATGAGGAAATCAGGAAAAAATTTTCACTAGGCAGAGAAAAATCTGAGGGCAGGTCTGCTGAAGGATGCCATGAATGTCAGGGAGTCCCCAGACAGACTAAGTTCTTGGATAAGGACCCCAAGTAGGAAAGAAGTTGTCTTGTTTGAGAGACAGGAAAGACCAAGAAAGAGAGGGAGAGGGTGGGGAGAAAGAAGGGTGAAAAAGCTGGCTAGCTGGCCAGTGGACTAAAACAGATGGCATAGACTGGGTGTGGTGGTACACACCTGTAATCCCAGCAGAGGTAGAAGTAAGAGAATCAGAAGTTCAAGGTCAGCCTGGGTTACATGAGAGCCTTACCCCTCCCCCCAAAAAAAAGAGAGGAAAAAAATTATAACCTAAAATGTATTTTAAAACAGAGTGTGGAAAGTTGGTGAGGATGCAGATGAAAGTAAGACTGTGAGTGAGTTGATTGGTGACAGATAAAGGGTTTCCTTGCAAAACATTTGATGGTTTTGTTTTTGTTTTTTCGAGACAGGGTTTCCCTGTGTAGCTTTGGAGCCTGTCCTGGCACTCGCTCTGGAGACCAGGCTGGCCAAGATCGAACTCACAGAGATCCACCTGCCTCTGCCTCCTGAGTGCTGGGATTAAAGGCGTACGCCCCCAACGCCCGGCCCATTTGATGGTTTTTATGGTTAAAAATGAAATGATCATTTGTTAGACAGAGACACTAGATTGCAGAAGGCAGGCAGGAGTAGAAATGAGCAGCCCATCTGTTGCATTAGCTCAGAAAGATAACAGTGGCTTGAGCTGGTGAGGAAGACTGTAAGTGCAGGGTCTGATGCATCCTGGAGCTTGCTATGGAAATTCACAGAGCACGAGGGTTGGCGGGGACATACCAAAGCAGAAGGATAAATGGTACTAGATTTGAGATTGCAAGAGCTAGTTCAGAAAGCACTAGTGAATTCTAATTTTATATATACTCATTTTTAGGCCTGTTAGACTAAGTGAAGCTTCAAGTTGGCATGAGAGCACCTGAGTCTGGTGTTCGGGGAAACACAACAGGACTAGAGAGTTGAGACATCCAGCCTTGCTGGGGACCCTGACATCTAACGGCACTGCTCTCTCCATGCTTCCCTGCAGGGTACCAGCTGTCACGCTGAAATGAACCCTCTGCAGTCCTCCGTCTACCATGGCTACCCTTAACTCAGCCTCTTCCTCCAGCACTGTTCCTCCCCCTGGGCACGATGCTCCGTCCCCACCTCCAGACACCTCCTCCTCCAGTACCTCTGATCCTGTCACCAAAGATCCCCCTGATGCCTCCTCCACCTCTGAAAGTGTAAGGTCCTCAGAGCCAGGGGAAGAGCTTCTGGAGTCAGGCTGTGGCCTTGTTCCACCAAAGGAGATTGGAGATCCCCAAGAAGAGCCTGGCTGTGGTCACATCCCACCAAAGGACCTCAGGGAGGAAAAGGAGGAGGAGGAGGAGAAGGAAATCCTTCCTTTGGACCTAAGTAACCACTTATTCTTTGCAGCTGGAGGTAAAGCCTACCTACTGGCCAAGTTGTCCCTGCCGGGTGGCAGTGAACTCTTGTTACCAAAGGGCTTCCCCTGGGATGAGGCAAGCATCAAGGAAGAGCCCAGCCTGCCCCTCCTTGCCCGTTTCCCCTCCTCACACCTCACTACCCTTCACATCCAACATGGCTTTGACCCAACCCAAGGCTTTAGCTCTTCTGACCAAATTTTGTCCCATGATACCTCAGCGCCATCTCTGGCCGCCTGTGAGGGAAGGGATGGATCCTTCTGGAGCTACCAGCTGGTTCCAAACCCAACCGAAGATCCCAAAGATGGCCCCATGGGGAGCCGATGGGGAGACCACAGGGCACTGTTCTGGATCTGCCTTCTGTGCCGCCTGGGTTTCAGCAGGCTCAAGGCCTTTATAGGTCACACACATTCTCATGGAGTGAAGCTGACCCCTGCCCACCACCAGGGCCTGCTGGGCAGCCCAGCCGTACTTCAGGAGGGTGATGATGGCGGCATGGCCTTCCTCAGCTTTCTGGAACCAAAACTCCTTGCTTGCCCTTCTCCTGAGGTCCCTGAGGATAGCACAGTGACCGTGGAGACCAACGGAACCCAGACTGAGGATGGCCCCCTGGAGGCAGATATTCAGGCCCTTGTTCTCCCCGCTGAAGAAGTTATGGCCCTCAGCCCACCATCCCCACCCACAGCCCTAGCCACCTGGGACCCCAGCCCAACCCAAGCCAAAGAATCGCCAGGATCAAGAGGCGAGGCAGGGCCAGACTGGTTCCCTGAGGGGCAAGAAGAGGATGGAGGGCTCTGCCTCCCACTCAACCAAAGCTCACCCACCTCTAAGGAGGTGGCCGCGCTCCCAGCTCCAGTAGGCTCTCCTGAAGACACCAGTGACCCACCCCAGCCCTGTCGCCTGATTGATGACTACACTCCAGCCCCTGCAGCCTTCCAGGGCCTCAGCCTATCCAGCCACATGTCCTTGCTACACTCTCGCAATTCCTGCAAGACTCTCAAGTGTCCCAAGTGCAACTGGCACTACAAGTACCAGCAGACCCTCGATGTGCACATGCGTGAGAAGCACCCTGAGAGCAACAGCCACTGCAGCTACTGTAGTGCCGGGGGTGCCCACCCCCGCCTCGCTCGTGGAGAGAGCTACAACTGTGGCTACAAGCCCTACCGCTGCGATGTCTGCAACTACTCTACCACCACCAAAGGCAACCTCAGCATCCACATGCAGTCCGACAAGCACCTGGCCAACCTGCAGGGCTTCCAGGCAGGACCTGGTGGACAGGGAAGTCCCCCAGAGGCATCCCTCCCACCCCCCTCTGTAGGGGATAAAGAGCCCAAGACCAAATCATCCTGGCAGTGCAAGGTGTGCAGCTATGAAACCAACATCTCCCGAAACCTGCGTATCCACATGACCTCTGAGAAACACATGCAGAATGTCCTAATGTTGCACCAGGGGCTGCCACTCGGCCTGCCACCAGGGCTGGTGGGGCCAGGACCTCCTCCCCCACCAGGGACTGCCCCCACCAACCCCCCTGAACTCTTCCAGTACTTTGGGCCCCAGGCCCTAGGACAGCCTCAGACACCTATGCCTGGGCCTGGGCTGAGGCCAGACAAGCCCCTGGAAGCCCAGCTGCTTCTCAATGGTTTTCACCACCTTGGAGCACCTGCCCGAAAGTTTCCCCCACCTGGTAAGTTCCCTGGCTCTGCTGCAGCTGCTCCCTTCTCAAGCCAAATTGTAGTCCCTGCCTTCTCCCAAAGGTCAGCTCCCCACTTAGGTAAATGTGGTTCTCTCTAATTAGTGCCCCAGTCCTTTCTTCCTTAGTCACTAATGTGTCTCTGTCCCCTAGCCCCTGGCAGTCTCTCCCCTGAGACCCATCTGCCACCAAGTCAGCTCCTGGGCTCCTCATCCGATGGCCTGCGCTCTTCACCTTCCCCAGATGACAGCCCACCACTGAAGGTGTTCCGCTGCCTGGTGTGCCAGGCTTTCAGCACAGACAGTCTGGAACTGCTGCTTTACCACTGCAGCATAGGCCGGAGCCTCCCCGAGGCCGAATGGAAGGAAGTGGCCGGTGACACCCACCGCTGCAAGCTATGCTGCTATGGCACCCAGCTCAAGGCCAACTTCCAGCTCCACCTCAAGACTGACAAACATACTCAGAAGTACCAGCTCGCAGCCCACCTTAGGGAGGGGGGTGGAGCCATGGGCACCCCTTCCCCACTGCCCCTGGGGGATGGGGCTTCTTATGGTTCTGTCTCCCCCCTTCACCTGCGCTGCAACATCTGTGACTTCGAGTCCAACAGCAAGGAGAAGATGCAGCTGCACGCCCGGGGGTCAGCCCATGAAGAAAACAGCCAGATCTATAAGGTGAAGTTCAGGCAGCAGGGGACAGGAGAGGGAGAGGGAATAGGGTGGAAGGAGGTGCAGAGCAGAGACGTGGTGGAGGAACCCTGGTGACAGACATGAAGGGCAGGGCTGTGTCTGTACCAGGGTGACAGCGTTGGGCAGACCTGGAGAAACAGACTTTATTCAGCTTCTCTGGCATGTAGACTGTAGGCTGAGTGCATCTCAGTCCAGCCCATCATGTTACCCAGGCGTTCAAGAGGACAGAAGCAGCGTGCAGTCACACTCTCGGGAACCCAGGGTCGGTAGGAGAAAGAGAAGGACATTCAGAGAATAAACAGTGATATGTAGCTGGCTGTAGAAGGGGAGACGGAGGTTAGCCAGGAATGAGAGTTCAGTGAGGAGGGAACGTCCCCTTCTACATCTGAGCCCCCTCTTCCATGGTTCTAGTTTCTCCTGGAAATGGAGGGAGCAGAGGCAGGGCCAGACCTGGGGCTGTACCGCTGCCTGTTGTGTGCCTGGGACACACCCTCCCGCCTAGCCGTGCTACAACACCTACGTACACCTGCCCACCGTGACGCCCAGGCCCAGAGGAGGCTGCAGCTGCTACAAAATGGCCCAGCCGCTGAAGAAGGACTCTCAGCTCTTCAGAGTATCCTGAGCTTCAGCCATGGGCGGCTCCAAACTCCTGGTGAGGAAAAGGGGCAGGAGAACAAAGGCTGGGCAGGAGGCAGTAGGTGCCGGGAGAGGACAACAAAGTGACAGGAAGGAGCAAGGAGGAAAGTGTGGTGAAGGGATGAGAGAGCAGGATGGGGCTTCAGGGACAGGGTGGCTTCCCAGCAAGGAGGGGAGCAAGAGACTACTGGCGGAAGGGAGAGAATGGCAGAGATTTTGCTGAGTAAAGGACAGGAAGACAGCGAGGAGGAGGGACCCGGTGATTCTGAGTAGGCCGATAGCAGCTCTATTGGTTGTGCGGGGCGGTAGGCAAAAAGAAAAACCTAAAACATATTTCAGGCCGGGCCAGTCTTGTTGGAAGTAGACGGGCACTGTGGGCATGTTCCAAAGACAACAGGGATGGGAAGAGGCCCCAACAAGTTTCCCAGCCTCTTCCTGTCTCCTAGGAGGTCTTCAGCCCCAAGGCTGGGCTTAGAGACCCCCTTAGGCAGCAGAGGTTGTACCAGCAGAGGCCGGGAACAGCCAGCCAGGCGCCATTGATCCAGAGGGTGCAGGAGAAGAGCCTGGAAGGGGCTGTCAGAGGTGGGCATGGGCATCTGGGCTTTGGAGAGGCCAGCGGTGGGCGAGGGCGAGGGCAGGGCAGCAGGAACCAGGAACAGGCAGCATTGACTGGTGCTAATTGAATTGCCAATACGCTGGCTGGAGTTAAGTGCTGGAGGGGCCCAGATCAATAGCTAACGATCCTGGCGCAAGGCTGAATGGAGTTAAGGAACTTTTAACACTTTAATTAGGCTGCCACCGAAAATAAATTCCTACACATCTGTCAATTCTTACTTGAGTGGTAATCTCCTTGCCCATCGCCTCCTGTTCACTACGGCCTCGGCTTCATTCAACATTTGCATTGCCCCTTCCACTACATTTTTTGGGGTTTCGCCTTTCAGGGGCAGTCAGGCCAGGAGGCCAAGTTTCGTCCAGTCCTATTGTGGGGATTGTTGCTAGGGATGGGCTGCTAGGCTTGCCCTACTCTACTGTTCCACTGCTGAAATTTTCACTTTTACCCTGTGTTTCTGCTGGTGGCTTTTCATCCTTTCCTGCTTCCCGAGTCACTCATCCATTTCGTCACCAGCTGGCTGCTTGTCCTGCTTCCTCTGCCCTGTGTCCTCCCTCCTTCCCCAGTGTCCACCGTCTTGTGCTGACTCTCTCTCCATCCCACACAGGGAAGGCTGACACCCCCTTACCTAAGCTGCCCACCTCTGAGAAAGATGCCCAGAACAAGACAGAACAATTGGGTGAGCCTCTGACCCATTTTTCCCATCCAGTTCACTATGCATCCTAGGATGTTCATGGGGCCCTTCAGAAGCCCAAGCACCCCAAAAGGCCTCCTTCCCAGAAGGAGCAAAGCTGATCAGAGGAAGGGGAAGGAAAGCCAGGCCATGTCAGCCCAGGCAGCTTCCTGCCCTCTTTGAAGACCCAGCCCTGGCTAACCCGGAAGTCATCCCCTGCCAGGCCTCAGCTGACTGCAGAGTTTCTCACCCATTCCCCACTCTCTGAAGTCAGCTTCCTACCCTGAAGGCTCTGTTAGCAAAGGGGCTATGCAAGGAGGGAGAGGATTAAGGAGTTCTCTAACCTCCTCTCCTCTCACCCTCAGCTTCAGGAATGACAGAGGACAGAACTGGCCCTTCCACAGACAGTGCCAACCAGATCACGGTCAGAACTGGGGTAACTGGGATGATGAAGGTGGGGGGCCTGGCTTTACTGAGATCTCCTGCTCTAAAGCAGTGGTTCTCAGCCTGTGGGTTGTGACCCCTTGGGCAGCCTGAGAGCATTATGATTCGTAACTAGCAAAATTACAGTTATGAAGGAATAACAAAAATAATTTTATGGTTGTGGGGTCACCACAGCATGAGGGACTGTATTAAAGGGTCACAGCATTAGGAAGGTGGAGAACCACTGCCCTAAAAGCTTCTGTTGTGCTTGGGGCTAATTTAATTCAGAATAGCACATGAGAAGTTCCATGCAGGGCCAGTTCCGTGTATTCAGAGTGTAAGGAAGAAAGCTGCCCATAAGGGTGTACAGGAAGGGATGACAGGAGTTGAGGAAAAGTCAAGAGAGAAATTGCGTTAAGGGTAGGATGGCCTGGAGGAGATGCAGGAAAGGAGGAGGGAAGCATGGGGAGTTGAAAGAGCAAGGGAAAGCAAAAGAGCAGTCTCATGGGACAACTGGTAGGAATGTCCCTTCCTGCAGGGGCCATAGCCCAGAGAACTGTCCTGGCACCCCTTCTTAAAGTAGAGGCACCAAACTCCCTGACAGGAGTCCCATGGCCTCTGAGCTCCAGGACCTGGACTTGAAAGGACTGGGGAGCAATTTGGCCTAATGGCCTCTAAAGTGTCAGTTCTGAGGCGATTGATTCTAAGTCTCTGGTCCTGAGATGCCGTCCTGGGCCTCATAGCTTCCCATTGCAGCATGTAGCGATACCTCAGTCCTCAGCTTCTCTTCCTCCTGGCTCCTCCCTGCAGCCTGTGTGTTACAGGACCTGTCCTGAGGATTGGTGCGTTAACATGAGTGCCTGGGTGCCCTGCCCTGATGTGCAGGCCTGGAGAAGAGCAGGGCAGCTGGAGAGGAGGTAGGCCAGAGAGAGAAGCTTGATCTGAGGCAGCAAGCAAAATGCCCACTGCACAGTCAGATGACAGCAGGCCTCTATTGCCTCCACCTATCTGGAGGTCTAGGCCACAGTGCAGAGGGACAGACCAGAATTTCCCTGGGCCACATGGGGAATGGTATTTGCTAATATTAAGAAGTAGTGAAGCCTGGGGCTAGAGAGATGGATCAAGCAGTTAAGAGCACTGGCTGTTAATCCCAGCACTCAGGAGGCAAAGGCAGGCAGATCTCTGTGAGTTCAAGGCCAGCCTGGTCTCCAGAGCGAGTGCCAGGATAGGCTCCAAAGCTACACAGAGAAACCCTGTCTCAACAAAACAAACAAAACAAACAAAAAAAAAAAGAGCACTGGCTGCTCTTCCAAAGGTCCTGAGTTCAATTCCCAGCACTCACATTGCACAACTGTCTATAATTCCAATTCCAGGGGATCTGACACCCTCATACAAACATACATGCAGGCAAAACACCAATGTATAGAAATAAATCCTTTAAAAAAAAAAAGTAGTGGCTGGGTGGTGGTGGCACACACCTTTGATCCCAGCACTGGGGAGGCAGAGACATGCAGGGATCTGTGAGTTCCAGGACAGCCCAGTCTACAGAGTGAGTTCCAGGACAGCTGGGTCTATACAGAGAAACCCTGTCTCAAAAGACAAAACAGAACAACAACAGCAAAAGTAGTTAGCCAGGCAGGGGTGTTGCATGCCTTTAATTCCAGCATTCAGGAGGCAGAGGCAGGTGGATCTCTGTGTTTGAGGCCAGTCTGGTCTACAGAGTGAGTTCCAGGACAGTTAGGACTACACAGAGAAACCCTGTGTCAAAAAACAAAAACAAAACAAAGCAACAACAACAAAAAGAAAAAGAAGAATAGAAAAAAGAAAAAAGTCCTGAAAGGGAAAGAGAATGGAGAGCAGCTGAGCCTGAAAGAGATGAGTCAGCGTTAGGTACAGACAGATAGGACCCCTCTGTAGATGTTCAGGGACCTGGAAGAAGCAAAATAGGCTGGTATGAGGCACCTCTGGGTGCAGAAAATGTCCAGAAGGAAGGAGGTATTTCATAGAAAAGGCAGGCAGTGGGGCATGGGAAAGAGCCAGATTCAGGGCCCTCTGTCAGCTGGAAAACTGACCAGGGTATCAGAGAGGGGGAAAGACACACCAAAAGGAAGGCAGAAACCAGGGTGGAAGGAGGGGAGCTGACAAAGAAGGAAGTCAAAATAGCAGCCTAGGCTAGGCCTTTGTCCTAGCCCAGTGGAAATGCCAGCTTCCAGGACTGGTTGGGGGCTCGGTGGGCCAAGGTGTCTTCCTGTCTGGCTTGTCTCCTAAGTCTGGGGATGGGGACATTGTACTGAATCCTAGTGACTGTGAGATAGTGGATCCCCCTGACTCCTCCCCAACCACATGTATCCCCAGGTATACTGCTGTCCATACTGCAGCTTCCTGAGCCCAGAGTCTGACCAGGTGAGGGTTCATGCACTCTCCCAGCATGCCGTGCAGCCCAAATACAGGTGTCCACTATGCCAGGAGCAGCTGGTGGGCCGGCCTGCTCTGCACTTCCACCTCAGCCACCTTCACAACGTGGTGCCCGAGTGTGTTGAGAAGCTGCTGCTTGTGGTGAGTGCAGGCTGAGAGAAAATGGTCTGAGGGTCCTGTCTGGGCAGTGTGGGAAGAGAGGATGAGGCAGCAGTTCCAGGCCAGTGTGCTGGGGTAGGACATGAAGAAAATAACATTCTAGAGAGTTCACATGGGATCTTAAAGCTGGTGGGGTGGCTCTTAGCACTAAGCTTGCCTAGTTCCCCTTACTCCTAGACAAGACAACTGTGCCTTACTCTCACTTCCACTAAACCCTGTAACGAGTTGAAGTAAGATACTTTTAGGGGAAACAGGTTGGAGCAGCAAGCTACCTAGTCCTTCACCAAAAAAAAAAAAAAAAAAAAAAAAAAGCATTGGGGGATTTGTCTAGACAAGAGATTGGATCCAGGGAAAGGGAGCTTGGCACAGATACAGGTGCAGAGTAAAGGGGTCAGGAATAGCAGTCGGGGCCAGTGGATAATGGTGAAGCCACTAGAGTTTCCTACATTATAGGCCACAACTGTGGAGATGACCTTTGCAACCAAAATGCTGCCTGGACCCACGCCAGCTCCTGTGGAGGATGGCCTAGAATGCCCCACTCCTGGACCAGAGCCCACTCCCGGCAGTGATCAGGGAGCAGGTGAGGAAGGGTATAGCATCCCTCCCAAAATGTCAGGGAAAGGGATCAAAGGGATCTGAAGATAATGACATCAAGTCAGTGGCTTTGTATATTGGGTGGTTGGAGCTCGGCTTGAACAGTTCTCTGTTCCTCTGTCTCCCGTAGAAAGCTCTAACCTGACCCCAGAGGCCAGCCCAGATCCTCCTCCTGAGCCTGCCCTGGCACCAGTCGAGGGCCCAGAGAAGCCCTCAGGAAGTCCTGATCAGCCCCCTTCTCCAGTGTCCTCTCCAGTCCCTCAGCTTGATGCCCAAGTTGAAGAAGTGGCTCCTCCACCCATCATGGCTGAAGAGGAAGAGGGAGCCATGGGGGAGCCCCGCTCTGCAGAGCCATCCCCAGCTGACTCTCGCCACCCTCTAACGTATCGGAAGACCACCAACTTTGCCCTGGACAAATTTCTTGACCCTGCTCGCCCCTATAAGTGTACTGTGTGTAAGGAGTCCTTCACCCAAAAGAATATCCTCTTGGTTCATTATAATTCCGTCTCCCACCTTCATAAGATGAAGAAGGCTGCCATTGACCCGTCGTGCCCTGCCCGAGGAGAGTCTGGCATCCCACCACCCACCACCACTACATCAGACAAGCCCTTCAAGTGCACCGTCTGCCGAGTGTCCTACAACCAGAGCTCCACTTTGGAGATTCACATGCGGTCAGTTCTGCACCAGACTCGCTCAAGGGGGACCAAGCCCGATGCCAAGACTGAAGGACCAGAGCGAAGCCAAGAAGAGCTCAAGGAAAGCGAGACTGAGGGCGAGGTGGGCACCGAGAAGAAAGGCCCTGACCCCAGTGGCTTCATGTCTGGACTGCCCTTCCTGTCTCCACCACCCCCTCCCTTAGACCTACACAGATTCCCCGCCCCCCTCTTCACCCCACCAGTCCTGCCCCCCTTCCCTTTGGTCCCAGAATCTCTGCTCAAGCTCCAGCAGCAACAGCTGCTTCTGCCCTTCTACCTCCATGACCTCAAAGTGGGGCCCAAGCTGGCACTGGCTAGTCCTACACCCCTGCTGTCCCTACCAGCTGCCACCCCACCTCCTCTTCCCGCGCCCCCCAAGGCCGAGCTGGCTGAGCAGGAATGGGAGCGGCCGCTCACAGCTGAAGAGGGGAACGAAGCAGGGCCCTCTTCACCACCCCACACATCACCCAATGAAGCTGCCCGCACAGCAGCCAAAGCCCTTCTAGAAAATTTTGGCTTTGAGTTAGTAATTCAATACAATGAAGGGAAGCAGGCAGTGCCCCCTCCCCCAACACCTCCTCCCCCAGAGTCTCTGGGGGGCGGAGACAAGCTGGCCTGTGGGGCCTGTGGGAAACTCTTCTCCAATATGCTTATCCTCAAGACTCACGAGGAACACGTTCACCGCCGTTTCCTGCCCTTTGAGGCCCTGAGCCGTTACGCTGCTCAATTTCGAAAGAGCTATGATAGCCTGTACCCACCCCCAGTAGAGCCCCCCAAACCTCCAGATGGGTCCCTGGAGTCACCGCCCCAGCTAGGCCCACCTTTCATGGTTCCAGAGCCTGAAGTAGGGGGGATCCATGCTCCTGAGGAACGAAGCCTGGCAGGAGGACACTGGCCCCCAGAGGAAGAAGAAGGCTCTAGAGGCAGTCTTCCTCCCTCAATGCCCGCAGGCCGCCGGTTCTCCAGAACCAAGTTCACTGAATTCCAGACCCAGGCTCTGCAGTCTTTCTTTGAGACCAGTGCCTACCCCAAGGATGGAGAGGTGGAACGGCTTGCAAATCTCTTGGGTCTGGCTAGCCGTGTGGTGGTAGTATGGTTCCAGAATGCCCGCCAGAAAGCCCGCAAGAATGCCTGTGAGGGTGGGCCTGTGGCAGCTGGCGGAACCACTGGGGGAGCATCCGGCTGTAGACGCTGCCATGCCACCTTTGCCTGTGTTTTTGAGTTAGTTCGGCACCTCAAGAAGTGCTATGATGACCAGCCTCCTGAGGAGGAGGAGGAGGAGGAGGCAGAGAAAGGGGAAGAGGAGGAAGAGGTGGAAGAAGAGGCAGAAGAGCGGAACCCCGAACCTGCAGCTACACGTGGTGGCCCATCACCAGAACACACAGCTGTGGAGGATCTAAACCAAGTAGAGTCAACAAGGCCAGAAGGCAAAGAGTCTGAAGGGAAGGCACCCCCATCGCCGGCTGCCCACACCTGTGACCAGTGTGCCATTTCCTTCCCCAGCCAGGACCTCCTGATGACTCACCACAGAATACACTCCCCACCGTCTGTGCAGCCCGGTGCTCCACCACAGCTCCTAGATCTGCCTTTGCTGGTGTTTGGGGAGCGAAACCCTGTAGCATCAGGCACCTCATCAGTGTCAGGGACACCCCTCAAACGGAAGCATGATGATGGCAGTCTGTCTCCCACAGGCAGTGAAGCAGGGGGTGGAGGGGAGGGTGAGCCCCCCAAAGACAAGCGCCTACGCACTACCATCCTGCCGGAGCAGCTGGAGATCCTGTACCGTTGGTACATGCAGGACTCCAACCCCACACGTAAGATGCTCGACTGCATCTCTGAGGAGGTGGGGCTCAAAAAGCGAGTCGTACAGGTCTGGTTCCAGAATACCAGAGCCCGGGAGAGGAAAGGCCAGTTTCGAAGCACCCCTGGGGGAGTAGCTGGTCCAGTGGTGAAACCCACCGTTACACCCACCCCAGCACCATTCCCCAAATTCAACCTCCTATTAAGCAAGATAGAAGATGATAGTGGGAAGGAAGCCCCAAAGAGAGAAGTCTCTGCCTTCCCCTACCCTGCAGCCGATCGTTCCTACCACCTGGGAAAGAGGCCCCTGTTCCAACACCAGAGCCCCCTCTACCCCTCCCCGCCCCCGCACTCAGTGAGGATGAGGGCACAGAGGAACCATCTAAAGCATCTCCAGAAAGCGAGGCTTGCAGTCCATCTGCAGGAGACCTGAGTGATTCATCCACTTCCAGCCTGGCCGAACCAGAGTCTCCGGGGACTGGAGGGGCCGGTGGGGGACCAGGAAGTGGGCCTGGAGTTCCAGATGGAATGGGGCAGCGGCGATATAGGACCCAGATGAGCAGCCTGCAGCTGAAGATCATGAAAGCCTGCTATGAAGCCTACCGCACCCCTACTATGCAGGAGTGTGAGGTGCTGGGGGAGGAAATTGGACTGCCCAAGAGAGTCATTCAGGTCTGGTTCCAAAATGCTCGTGCCAAGGAAAAGAAAGCCAAACTACAGGGGACAGCCCTCGCAGGGAGTGGGAGCAGCAGTGAGGGCACCTTGGCAGCCCAGCGCACCGACTGTCCCTACTGTGATGTCAAGTATGACTTCTATGTCTCTTGTCGAGGCCACCTCTTCTCTCGTCAGCATCTGGCCAAGCTCAAGGAGGCAGTCCGAGCCCAGCTGAAGAGTGAAAGCAAATGCTATGACTTAGCCCCAGCACCCGAGGCCCCACTGGCTCCCAAAGGACCACCTGCCACCACACCTGCCTCTGTGCCCTTGGGGGCTTCCCCGACCCTGCCTCGCCTGGCTCCTGTCCTCTTGCCTGGCCCAACTCTGGCCCAGCCACCACTTGGAAGCATAGCTTCTTTCAATTCAGGTGAGTCCGGGGAGGCTGGGAGGAGCTGCACTTGAGAAAGCAGAGCTTCTAATCCCAAGCAATTCTTTTCCTTCTTGGCTCTCCCCACACAGTTGCCCTTGCTGCAGGCTCTGGGAAAGAGAAGAGTGGAGTATGGCCTCTCTGGGTAGGGGGAAGGATGAGTGTGCTGTAGTGTGGGGCAGGAGGTCTGTAAGGATTAACCCTTCATCACTCCTTTCATCTTCTTAGGCCCTGCAGCCTCCTCAGGCCTCCTTGGCCTCACCACTTCAGTCCTGCCTGCTACCACAGTGGTCCAGACTGCTGGTCCAGGCCGCCCCTTACCTCAGAGACCTGTGTCCAACCAAACCAACAGCTCTACTGACCCTACCCCTGGCCCAGCTACTGAGCCCTCAGGAGACAAAGTCTCTGGTGAGCGAAAGCCAGTTGCAACCCTTACCAGCTCCTCCACCGATGCCCTCAAGAACCTGAAAGCATTGAAGGCCACTGTCCCAGCCCTGCTGGGGGGCCAATTCCTGCCATTCCCATTGCCCCCTGCGGGCGGGGCAGCACCACCAGCTGTCTTTGGTCCTCAGTTACAAGGGGCCTACTTCCAACAGCTGTACGGCATGAAGAAGGGGCTATTTCCCATGAACCCGGTGATACCTCAGACCCTCATTGGGCTGCTGCCCAATGCCCTCCTCCAGCCACCACCCCAAGTCCCTGAGCCTACAGCCACAGCACCCCCAAAGCCTCCTGAGCTGCCGGCTCCCGGGGAAGGGGAAAGCAGTGAGGCTGACGAGCTGCTGACAGGCAGCGCTGGCATCTCTACCGTGGATGTTACTCACCGCTACTTGTGCCGCCAGTGCAAGATGGCATTTGACAGCGAGGCCCCAGCTACTGCCCACCAGAGATCCTTCTGCTTCTTTGGGCGGGGCTCTGGGGGTTCCATGCCTCCCCCATTGCGGGTGCCTATCTGCACCTACCACTGTCTGGCCTGTGAGGTGCTGCTGAGTGGGCGTGAAGCCCTGGCCTCCCATCTGCGCTCCTCAGCCCACAGGCGCAAGGCAGCCCCGCCCCCAGGAGGCCCTCCCATCACCGTTACCAACAGCGCCACTGCTGTCCCGGCTGCTGTGGCTTTTGCCAAAGAGGAAGCAAGATTACCTCACACGGACCCCAACCCAAAAACTACTACTACCTCTACACTTCTAGCTTTATAAACAGATAAACCAAGATGGGGCAAGAGAGGGCCTCAGGGTTCCCTCGCCCCAACCTTCAGCTCTGCCCACCTCATGGGAGTCTGTCAATTCCCACCCTCAGTGGGCTTCACACACCCCACCTCCAGCAGAGTCCTGCCTCCTCCCCGTCCCACAGACACTCTGACCCTCACTCTCAGTCCCTTGCAGGTGCACCCCACCTTGGCATACACGTCTGCTTCGTTCCCTCTTTTTCCCGGTTCAGTTCCCAGCCCTCATCCCCTATAAACACATAACTTTTCCATACTATTATACTGACTGAGAAAACGCCAAAAGAAAGACAAGAAGAAGAAAAAAGAAAACCCAAGACAAAAGGGGGGGTGGAAAAATCAACTTTGCCACCCACCTCTTCTTACCCCCATGTCCAGAGCACAGACTGCTCACAAACTCCAAAAACCCAGTTGGTTCCTAAGGTTGGAGCCTGGGATGGGCAGGGAGCCCATAAAACTAACCAAACTGGAGGCTGTCAGGGGGAGAAGTGCCCTGTTCACTCTCCTCACTCCCCTCCCTCCTGACCCTCTCCTCACCTGATTGGGACCCTTGCAGCCTGGACTCCTGGGGAAGCCGCTGCCAGGGACCCCTCTACTACCCCTCACCCGTACCCTGGAAACTGCAGTAACTTTTTCTCAAAGGCTTTAAACACAGAGATCCTCTCAGCAGCCGTGGGCCTGCCCTATGCCCCAGCCCTGCCAAGGGCAGTCCAGCCTCCGGGGATCAGCATTGCCCACCAATGGCAAATCCAAAGTTCTTTTTAAAAAACAAAAACAAAACTGAAACACACCAAATAAACAAGAGCAAGAGAGAGTGTGCACATACACAAGAGAGATGGAGAGACCAGAGGAATGAAGTAAAGAAAACAAACTTTGACTATACAGAGAGAGAGAGGAAAAAAAAAAAAAAAACTCCCATCAAACAAGTTTTTTGGTTTTGTTTGTTTGGTTTTGGTTTACTGTTTGTGCCCCCACCCCATCTGAGAGTTTCTTGCAATCTGAGCTCTGATGTCTCCAAGCCCTTACTGGGTGCTGGTGATGTGCAGGGCTAGAGGCAGTGTAGCCTCCCCCTTGCTGTACCAGGCCTCAGACAGGACCAGTAGAGATGATGACCCCTGTCCCCTAAGATGAACACGCATCAGGACACGTGATAACCTCCTCATTCTCAGCAGTCAGAAAGCCTAGTGTGAGAGTCTTGGCCATCCCAGGAAGGAGGGCACGGTTGGGGCAGTTCTGATTTCTGAAATCAAGATGTGTATCCCTTTTGCCTGTCCCTATTCCTTCTCATTTCCTTTTTCCTGTCCAGGGCTCCTGTCATGCTTCTGATTATCTGGAACCTCCTTTGCAGGCTCCCCTGTTCCCTATCTACTTTCCCTCATCTTAGTCCTGTGCCCTGCTCCTTCCAACTCAGCCTAGCCCCTCCATTAATCAGCATCTACTGGAGGCCTTGCCCAGAGTCTGCCTGACTGTTAGGGATACGGGCCTGTGAGGAGATGTGTAGGAAGGGACTCCCTGAAGCACAACACACTCTCCAGGGGATGCCACAGGGGTGCAGTGTCCTAGGGGAAGCTTCCCACACCCAATCTTACTTCCTGTGTGGCCACCAGGGGGTAATTTTGGCAATCCCCAAATCGAACCCCAATGGCACAGGATAGACTTAATAGATGTTTTATTTTAGCAAAGAAAAGCCTGCAAAATTCCCTGCATCCTCCTGCTATTTCATCTCTCCCCCTTAACTCTGAGGAATCCCTCCAGGCTTCACACACTAGTTACCCATTTAATACATATCTGACCACCCAAGAACTTAGCTTTGCCAGGGTCCCCCAGCTACCCACCAACACTAAAGCAAAGGGAGATGAGGGGAGGGTCACCTTACATCCTTACTTAGTCCTCACATACTCTGAATCTGAGACTCCAGCCAATCGAGGGGAGGATGAAACCAGTTCTGTTGATACCAAAAATGACAGTTACTAGAAAAACTAGCTTATGGCGGCCTGGTGCCTGCTGCCCCTGGTCCCGGCCTCTCAGCATCACTCTCGAAGCCACACACACCCCACCCTTTTCTCTCACTTGTTGAAATTCTATGTATAAAAGTATTTTCTTAGCAGCATGTGTATGAGGAAAAAGAGGTTTTTTGTTTGTTTTTTTTTTCCACTCTGCTTTCTGAGAATGTGACTTGTGTATAAAAGATAAAAAAAAAAAGAAAGAAAGAAAAGAAAAGGAACTTTAAAAGAAAATCTTGGTAAACATCTGCCTTGGGATAATTAGAGGTCTGTGTCATGCATTTTAGCCTGGTTAGGCTGGATTAAGTTTGAACTATGAATGGTTTTACCAAGAGTTACTGTTGCCAGAAATCCCTCCTCCTCTGCCTTCTTACACCTAAACACGGTGGTGTGGGTCACACCATCTAGTCACAACAGTAGACAGAAATTGACTGAGCAATGCACTTTCCCAGGAATCCTGGAGGTGCTGACAGGTCAGTCAACACGGTCTCCAAGGTGCACCAGTCTGCAGTCTTAGCCCTTTTCTCATGCCACACTTAACGACAACACTGCCACTTCAAACAGCTATGCACACTAGGGGACCTGGTGTCTGAAGAATACTAGAGGTGGCCATCAAGTCAGCAGGATCTTGTGGAATTACACATGAAAGGCAAGAATGGTGACACCTACATCTGCCTGTCTGTTAAGCAAGCTTGAACCAGGGTCACCATGGCTTCAGATTTCTGACACACACAGTCTTAAAGAAGCACCCAAATCCAGGTCCCTTCTCACTCCAGGGTCATTGCTAGGAGGCAGGAAGTACAAATGATCTTGTCTGTCTTTTCTCTAAACCTTATAAGAGGATCATCAGGTACTCAGTCCTCAACCAGGGGAAAAACAAAATCAAGGTTTGCTGGAAGAACATGAGAGAAAGCTGAAGTCTTAGTAGCCAGATAGGACAGATCACTGAACAAACGAGTTTTTACCCCAAACCTCTAGCCCTGGGGAGAACTTACAGAAGCGTATAGAAGAACCAAGAAAGTTATTCCAGGCATAATAGCCCCTGATGCTGCTTCCTTTTTATTCCTTAGTGTCAGACAAGATCACGAAGTTCTCATCACCCCATTATTTCAAAACATTTGCTCATTTAGCCATTCATCCCTATAAAAATATGCACATAAGAGTCTGGGTGGTAGAGGACACCGTTAGTCCCAGCACTCAGGAGACAGGGGCAGACAGACCTCTGTGAGCTCAAGGCCAGCCTGGTCTACAAATATGATTACAGGCCAATCAGGGTTATACAGTGATATCCTGTCTCAAAAAACCAAAATAGTAATTTTTATATGAAAGGAAACTAAGTTCTGCAAATAGCACCCCACCAACAAAACAAGTCCATCCTCAGGGGGAGCAGGAGACCTTGGCCAAGAAGTCTGCAGGGAGATGAATGTACACACACACACACACACACACACACACACACACACACACACACACACACTTACATTTGCACAAGAACATGCCCTGAGATAACCTTCCTGCCCTTAAGAACCAGTGCCTTCTAGGAATATAGGTTAGCAGAAGAGCATTTGCCTGTAAACACTTCCTCATGTTGCTGGAAACAGAGAAAGTTCACAAATACAGCAAGTCTCAGGAAAATGCAACCAGTATCTGTTAGTATTGAACACTATTAACTCATCAGGGAAAAGCCATGAATGATTGCCGTCTAAAGCTGAAAGAAATAGATGGGAAGTCAAGGAAACTTTTCAGAAAACTTGTATCACCCTGAAACTGGGTTCACTGAGCTAGGGCTCCATTACAGGGAGGCCTGGAATTGGGGAATCAGGGGACACATCTCAGAAACCTGTAGCTGTAAGGCCACTATTTCTAGGAGACTGAATTAGGAAAAAAGACCACAGTACTACAGCAGCAGTTACCATCGAGTAAGGGCAATAGACCCAGAGCAGAGCCTATGGGAGCAAAGCATGGATACAACATGAAAAGATGAAATGAAACTCTGAGAGAGGACATTTAGGGAAGGCTAGATTAAGGTCTGTTAAGTTTGAAGAAAAGAAGAACAACACTGAGAGAATGCTCCTCTTGGAAGAGCCTACTTCTATGGAACTAGATGAAATCCAGGGCCGCAGGAGCTCTTCCACCAAAACACAGCCCCAGTTCCACAAACCTCAATCCCCACTTTTTTTTTTTTTTAAATAGGGTCTCATGTAGACTAAGTTAGACTTGAACTCTCTGTTTTATCTCAGGATGACCTTGAACTCAGGGTCTTCTGGCCTCCAGGTCCTGATTGCTGGAATTACAGACAAGCACAGCTGACTCCCTTTTCCTTTTTCTTTTTTTTTATTCTAATTTTTAATAAATTTATTCTTTTGAGATGGTCTGAAGTTGCTCTGTAGCTCCAACAGCTCTTAAACTCTATAGATCTTTCCGTCTCAGTCTCCTGAGCAGCTGAGGTTACAGACCTGTGCCACCAGGTCCAGGGAAAGACACAGACAGCACTTCCCCAAAATATAGCATCCAGTGACAAAACTAGGTGACTCAATTGTGCAACCACGCTGTGACTCCCCTTGATATAGAAGGACCCAGATAATTCTCTAACCAAAACACAGACAGAGATTAGAGTAGATAGAATTGTTCCCTAACAGTCTGAGATGGGTTTCTGGCAATTCCTCAGTCCAGAGGTATCTGGCTAGAAGTTAGTGGGCAATCAGGCTGAGTGATTATAAGTAGAATAGAAAGAGGCTGAACCTGTCAAGGAAAGTCAGGGAAACAACAGTCTGATCCACCCATGCATAGCCTTCCCAATGGCTAACGTCCAGAAACGGGTGCTCAGCAGGAGCCGTTGCCCACATCGGTAAATCTACAGCCCTTTTCTAACAACAGCATACCCTACACAGCATCTTCACTGAACAGGAAGAATGTCCACACGGGACATGTCCTATCGGATGACTCAGGTGGCAACACCTGCAAGTGGTGGGGTATTTGCCAATACCGCCATGGCCCAGCCCTGTACGCCACAAGCCAAGTCTCCGGGAGACAGGTGAGTAGGACCTCTCCCTCTCACCACAAAGTCCATACAGATATCACAGTGTCACAGAGGACATCAACCAATGCTCCTAATCTCACGGTTCTCGACGGAGGAAAGATTTCTGAAACACATGGCAGCCAGCAATCAGAACTAGGAGGACAGGAAGGGGGACTTGGAAAGTGCTAGGGAGGTGGCGGGAGGGGCAGGTCTTCTGTGACTAACTACTGCCAGTTGCAATTACCGTTCTAACAAGTTACAGGTCCTAACTGGACCTAACAACGCCTCCCTATTTATCCGCTACTCAGCACAAACATGCATCTATCCCACAACATATGTATCATTGGTTTGACATGAAAGGTGGTCGAAGAAAGACAGAGGTACAAAGACAAGGAAACTTCAAATGCGGCTGGCTGCCCTACAAGATGAATGCTATCTCGTGGAACAGCCTGGCCCAAAGTCCATCTGCGTCATGGTTACCTGAGTGTTTGTTTAAAATACAACCTAAGATAAATCTAGGGGTACAAGCTTGTAATGCCAACTTCTAGAGTGGCTGAGGCAGGAGGTTCACAATAGCCTGGACTACAGAGTTAGCTCAAAGCCAGCCTTGAACTTAGCAAGACCCTATCTCAAAATAAAAAGCAAAAGGGGGACATAAATCAATGATAGAGTATTTGCCTATCATGCACAGGCCCTGGGTTCAATTCCTAGCACCACAAATAATAATTAAATGTACATTTCTGAACCACAGTGCACACAAAGTGAATTGGAAACTCCTGCTGAAATGATCTGTGTGTTGGCTAAGAGCTGTCCTAGAGAGCTCAGCCCCACATAGAGATCTGTGACCTGTCCCAGCTCTCCAGTCCCCAGAACAACTTTGCTACACCAGAGGCTCCCACACAGCAGCTAGCATCACTTCAGATTTCTTTTTGTCCTTTGCTGGGGATTGAACCCAAGACCTCACACATGCTAGGCAAGAGCTCTACCTCTAAGCTACGCCCAATTCAATTTTTTCCTCCCCAGATGCATCTTCCTCATTACTTTGACAAACACCTTCAACCTTTCAATCTACTGAAATCTGATGGTATCATGGGCTTATGGCGGTTTCCCTCTAACAGCAGAAAACAGTTCTTAAACACTATCTACTTACCGTGTTGACTGGAGACCTCCTGCTTTCTCTTCTTCCGTAGAAACCTTGCTTCTTCTGAAGCTGCCATCCACTTCAGAGATGTTGAAATCAGAACTCCCCCAGCCCAGCACAGCTCCGCCCAGCATGGGCAACAAACCCTCTGCTTACTTCCCGTGAGCAGGCCTTATCTTGGAGAGCCATCCAGTCTTTACCCAAAGCTACATTTTTCTCCAGATCTTCCGACTGACAGCCTACAGTCTCTGACTACCCAGGAATTCAGGGAATCCAGGACTACTGAAGACTCTTGCAGAGGCAGCTTAAGGTTAAAATTTCAGGGGCTGGTGTGTGTCATCACAGGTACTGGAGAGTGTCCTTCAAAGCATCTTTTCCTCTACCACCGTCATTGTTGGACCTTGGTCTCCCTTCCAAGAGCAAATTTCAAAGGCAGATGTTAGTCTGGTCCTATTTGGGGTGTCATTGGGAAATCCCTAAACATAAAATCTTAGTCTTTGTAGAAGTCCTGGGTGCCCTTGTCTTGGCTACACCGCACCTCTCCAGTTCTACAGTGCCTCTCATTCTTCTAGGGACATTTGAATAAAGGACAAGGGACTAGTTCATCTCAACCACAGGACAGTAGGAAACACATGTAAAACACAGCCACTCCCTAATAGCAAAGCCTGAAGGTCTCCTTTCACTCTGTTTTGGTACTGTCTGAGTAACAGCATAGCCTCAAGTCTCTCTCCAGGCCTTTTCACTCTCCAATTTTTTGTCTGTCCTAGCTACCCAGAGAAGTACACAGCCACTGGCTTTAGGTGTGGCTATAGATGATGTCTAGATTCCTTTGCCTAGCTGCTCAAAAACAGTATATTGGAGTTAATGACGGCAGACAGAGATGAGTGTCCTGTTTGGCGACAGCAGAGGTGAGATGTTGCAGTGAATGCTGACTTCAGTCCATCTGTGAAGGACAGCCTCGTGTGCCACTTCCCAATATGGAGCTCCACCCAGCCTGGCACTTCTATGCACATGACCCCTCTCCATCATTGCCGCCAAGTGGTGTCTTGAGCAAATTTGGCAGCTTTGGGTTTGCCGCAGTGCCAGCATCTGAGTCACTGGTCACATGCCAGTGCAATACTGCCAATTGTGGCGGAATCTACTTGGTTGGGTGCCAAGCAATAGGACCCAGATGGTGATGATGAAAGAGGGGGTAGGCAAAGAGAGGGAAAGGAGAGGGAGGTACCAGGGATAAAAATCAGTCACACTTGTAAGAGTGGACAGTACAAATGAGATCCACAAAAAAGAAAAAAAAAAAAAAGGTACTCCTTCCATTTCACAGCCCAGCTTCACATGCAACCCCTCCCTGCAATAATGGTACATACAGAGCAGGCTAGAGGACACAGCCAGTGTCAGCAGTGGAATGACTGGAGGCCAGCAGGACTGTCAGGCTCACCACTCTTCTTCCTGGGAGTCTTAGCAATGGCATGCTTCCTCCATTGTGTCCTCATACGGCACTCCATCTGTCATTCAGCAATCCATGCCTAACAGGGAATGGGAAGGAGGGCCTGGCAGAAAAACAGTCTGTTCTCCCAAAGAAAACATCCTTCATCTCTCCACCTAACTCCTGGCACAACAACTTTCTCTGCCAAAATAGAGGGGCCTTCCACACAACACCAGAGCCATGCCAGGCTCCATGGGCAGTACCAGCTTCTCTTGTACCCAAGTTCCCCTGCTGTCTTCTTGGGTGTTCTCTGAAAAGGCCACACTGCTAGCCCAAACAAGTTCTCCCTGGGTAGTAGTTCTCCCACCTTTTCCATCCTTTCTTGGCTCTTCCCCACCTACTCTCTTCACTTTGCTCTCTAGACTGGAACAGAGATGACTCCTTCATAGCCCCAACACTTCTCAGAACTCATTCTAGAGGGACAGCGGCATCAGCAGTGCATCCCCTCTCTATCTCCTCGTCCCTCTAGTCCCCATAACCCCAGGCCTGGGCACAAGCCCAACAGTTGTGATGCCAACAGCTCTCGTGTGCCGCACCTTCCTCCCAGAGCATGGGGACTCCTGCCGCTGCCCCTCCTATCTCCATGGGCACAAGGGTGGCAGCTGCAGTGCCAATGCCTGCAATCATGCACCCTCTTCTCCCCTCCAAGGCCCCACACCTCTCCCCTCCTTCTTCTACTCTACCCTTCTGTCCTTCTAGTTGGATGCTACAGTGGCAACCGCAATGCCAACCCCCACCCATGCCCAGGAGGCTCACATACAACACGCGCGCGTATGCGTACACGTACATGCGCGCGCACACACACATACACACACGGCCCCATGAGTGCCAGGCAGCGGTGGCAGACACACAGCAATGCAGTGGCTGGGACCCGAGGGGGCAGCCAGATTCGGCACCTGATCCAGTACCCATTTGGGATTGGGTGGTGGGCAGGCGGCGAACGGGTGATGGAGGCAGGCGATGGCCCTAGGTTGGCAGCCGATGGAGCTAGGAGAATGGAGGGAACAGATGCTCTTTGCCCAGCCTCCCTCCCTCTCTCTCCCTGAGATCAGTGCCAAGCTGGGGGGATGGGGAGAGGGGAAGATGGGGGAAGGGTGGCATTTGGAGAGCTGGCAGGCGGGGGGGGGGGGAGCTGGGTCCGCCCAAGCGGGGCAGGCCCGGCACTGGCTGCCGCCTCTCCACTCTGCCATCTGTCTCGCTTCTCTCCCCACCCCCTTTCTCTCTTTCTCTTTCTCTTTCCCTTTCTTTCTCTTTCTCCTTCAACCATAGTAAAATGAAAAGAGGAAGACAGGGTCTTCATTCCACCCATCCCAACCTCTGTTCCACCCCCTTCTTCCTCCCCACAACTCACCACACCATACCACCACCAAGCCATCTGTGCTCTCTCTCCTCCTGGCTCGGTCACCTTCTTTCACTCGCCTTCACCCTCATGCCAAAACAGGTGCAATTTAAATACATATAATATACATTATATGATATATATATATACATATATATATATATGCACATATATATATGTCATTAAAAGGCAACTTAAAATGAAAACTATTTTCTTTGGAATGTCCTGTCCTTCAGAGTCTGG